CAGGGCCCCTGGCTGGGTTTAAGCAAGGGAGAGACATCACCCGACTTAATGTTTCTCAACTGTAGCTGCACATTAGAATCACCTGAGGAACTTTTAGAACATTCCACGGTGGGGCCCCCCATCAGACCAGTTAAATCAGAAAGGATTGGTAACTGCAGAAGCAAAGTCTTTGTCAAGATGAGAAGGGGGTGAGATCTGGAGCCCAAGGTTAGGGGTGAAGTCAGACTCAGATAGGAACAGGGTCACTCCTTATAAACAGGATAGCAGAGCTAGCTGGTCTAAGGGTTACTAAGCTGTTGTTCCAGGCTTCTGAACCTGAATATTGCATCCCTGTTTAATGAATTTTACTCCTGGTAGTTCACACTGAAAACCCTGCTGCTTGCTGAGCTGTTCATGTCTTTGTGAAGGTGACTGAAGAGATGGCTGTTTAACCCACCAGCCTCGTCTCTGCTTCGCTCGTGGCTTAGCTGCTTCCCTCCTGGGCTGCCTGGCCCTTGGCCACGCACCTCACCTGTGCTCTGGGAGGTGCCACCCACAGCATCATTTCCCAGCACTGAGGCCATCTTCACGACTCCAGGCTGCACCGAAGCATGTCTTCGCTGAGGTTCTTTCCTCCACCCTGTTTGCAGTTGCCTCACTTCACTATTTTCATCGTCCCGGGGTTCTGTGTCAGCACTTAAGAAACAATGGCAGTAAAAAGTCATTGTCACTTTAAATGCAACATTGCCCAATTAAAAAAAGATATTTTAGCGCTTTAGCCTTGCAATCACTATCATTTGTACAGGAGCTCCCTGGGCTTGTTTCAGAGTCCCTGTTGTTTAGAAAAGGTATCCTTTGTTGGGTAACTGAAAGCAACCTTGCGTGGAGACAGAGGGTGCGTCCCTCCCTTTGGTGTGAAGTCATTTGTAGCTGACACTGCCACAGGCAGGTCTAGGGGTGTGGCGGCAGGTTCAGAATTTCTGATTTAAGAAAATGAAAGATGTGTGTAGTCACCTTCACAGGACCAACATTGAATTGCCCTGTGTTCAAGTAGGGTTTATGGCTGGAGGGGCAGTGTTGCAAACATCTCCCCAGTTACTCAGGCCAGACAGAGACCTAAGTGCAGCCTCCGCCTTCTCACCCATCCCTGTCCTCTTTGCCATCACCAAGCCTTCGATGGGCTTCCTACTTGGCTTTCTAAATATCTCTGGGGTCTGTGTTCTCCTTTCCCACCACTGTCACGCTGCCTTTGTCACCTCTTGCCTTGTCCCTGGTCCTCCAGCCCTCCTGTCTTGCTCTACCCTCCAGGTGTGGGGCTGGAGTTGAGTCAACACAGAGCCCTCCGCCCTTGGAGCAGCCACAGAGCCTGAGGAAGCCAAGCTCCCAACCAGACATGGCTGTGAGCAGCAGCCTTATCCCTTTATTTCAGTGGCCCATGAAAAAGGATCATTTTCTGTGTGTGCATACAGAGCAAGAGGTCAGGAAGCAAATAAAAATCAGGTTGCGTCATTTTCTTGCTAAAAACCCCCTGTGCCTAAAGGAGTGTTTGCCAAATGAGTTCCAAGGAACATTGTCGCAAAATATGAATAACTTTTCTTTAGAAAAAGGGTTCAGTGCTCAAATAAGTCTGCCTATTTTCTCTCCTTGGAGAATCGTAATACACATGAGCATATTTAAAGGGTTGATAAAGCCATCTGGTAAAGAAACCTGTTTAATTTTTTTTTTTTTTTAATGTGAGCCATCCTGCTACCTATTGGCAGCTTAGCAGCTGCTCAGCTTGGGCTGGCATCGAACCGCTGTTGCTCAGAGCTCAAACTCTCTTGAGTGAGCTCTTAACCAACTGAGCCACTCGGCCGGCCGAAACCTGTTTAATTTTAATCCAACACAACATTTCACAAATCTACTTGGCTGTGGGACCTGTCTTTTGGGGAACACAGTTTGGGTAACACTGACCTAGCACAAAAGTTGGCAAAGTTTTTTTGTAAAGGGCCAGATAATAAATCTTTTAGACCTTGTGGGCCATACAGTCTGTTCAGCCTTCTTATTGTGGTGGGAAAGCAACCATAGACTGACTTATGGCCACTGAAATTTGAATTTCATATAATTATCACGTTACAAAATAACTGTTTTTCTTTCCATTTTTTCGCCCCAACCATTAAAAAATATAAAAACCATTCTTAGCTTGCAGGCTATCCCAAGACAGGAGGCAGGCCAGATTTGCTGGGGCTGGAGTTTGCCGACTCCTGGCCTAGGGGATGAAGTTCCTACTCCTTAGCATGTACAGCTCTGCTGTGATCTGGCCCCAGCCTAACATTCCAGGCCCTTCTCTCGACTCTCCTTTGCCTACCCCCAGCCCTCCAGTCTGTGCACCAGCAATATGAACTCCTTGCAGTTTCCCCACTCATCCTGCCGTTTCAAGTCTCCGGCAGGATCTGCTAAATATTTGCTAGGCCCAGTGCAAAATAAGAATGTGGAGCTCTTTGTTAAAACATTATTCAGAATTTCAAGATGGCAACAGCAAAGCATTAAACCAAACACAAGGCCCTTCCGAGCATGGTCCTGCTGAACTGTCTAGCTTCCCACTTGTGCACACATGCAGCTGGCTCCGACAAGGCTTTTTTCCCTTCTTCTCCGAACACCTTTCTTTTTTGCCTCCTGTTAAACCTTCAGAATGCTTCACAGGCTCCACCTCCTCTATGAATCTTTCCCTGACCAACTCTCAACCTCTCAGGACTCTCCTGCTCTCTGTAGCCTCCTTACCTGGCTCAGACCATGCTATACTGCATTTTTCTCTTTACCCACGCCTGCTTCTGTCTCCCCTACTAGACTGAGCAACTTCAGTAGGTAAAGAGGTTTTCTCTGTTTGTAGCCCGAGAGCCTTAAACAGGGTCAAGTATACAGTAGGTAGAGAAAGATCTGTGTAATGAAACTGTTCCTGCACAGTGATGCTGCTGGTTGTGGGATCTTTTTGAAGTTTACCCATGATGCATTGCAAGAGTAGCACGGAGTGCTGCAGGTATTTGCCAGGGTGACACAGAGCATCGTTACTCATGTTGAATGGCGGACATCCATCAGGAGTGAGAGTGAGCCCCGGGGCAGCTCTTCCCTGTAGTAGTCCTTGACAAGCTTGCTCTAGTAGACTGTGAAGATAGAGGTCTGTAGCTTCTTCACCCACGCGTGCGGGTGCCTTTTCCCCTCTAGAACAGTAGCCCCATGAGGGCTGGGACTTCGTGTTCACCACTGGGCCACCCGCACCTGGAATAGCAGCTGGCACACAGCAGTGGGTACTGGATAAATCTTTGTGGCGTGAAGTGAATGAAAGACACAAATGCTAAAATATAGGCCCAGGCTACAGGTGCTTTGTAATATAAAAGAAAACACATGCCTTGTAATTCAGTAGTAAAGTAGTTTAAGGTAGTACGGTGCCGTGGAGAAAGCCCTGGGCCAGAAGTCAGGATTCTTGGGTTCCATTAATAATAATGACAATGACGTCTAGGTTTTGAGTGTGCTAGATCCATATAAGTCACATTACTAGGCCATATCATTTAGTTCTCACCACCTCCCCAAGAGGCGGGGACCATTGAGGAAGGTGAGAGAAAAGTTGAGTGACCTGCTGCATCACACAGCCTGTACTTGACCCCAAGTCTGATGGAATGCAAAGCCTACCCACCATGCAGTACTGGCTCTCCATGAACTTCCTTTGTGACCTTAAACTAGTCACTTAACCTTTTCAATTCTCAATTTTCTCATCTGAAAAATGAAAGTTAGACCAGCCATTCTCTAAGGTTCCTTTCAGCTTTACAATTCAGTGTTTTGAAAGTAGGGAGCTTGGTCAGAGGAGTAGACTAGGCAGTATTGTTGGGTTTTATTGGGTTGTTGGTTCAATTGCAGAAAAGGAAACTGTGAGTCATTTTGGAAGAGCTTGCAAAACAGTATTTTCTATATGAAGCTCATCCCCCCCTTCCCCGTCAGATAAAAATATTTTATCACAGACTAGAGTATAGTAACAGCATTAAGGATAAGCTATTCCTAATGTCAATTGCTGATAAAGAAACAGTGTTGTATTAGAAGTCTAGAATTTGCAGTCATAAACACAATAGATATTTCATTTCAGAGATTGGGCATCGTTTTGCAACTCTCTAATTCCCCTTTAGAAAGCGTCATAGGGGTTTTAGCACTCTCTTCTTTCCATTGCCTGGCAGTGGTCTGCTAGCCTCCATGATCAGGCCCCTTCCCCCGATCACCTTTCCTCCTCTTCTCCCCCTCATATACTCCACTTCTGCTGTTCCTTGAGCATGTCAAGCACACTCCTGCCTTGGGCCTCCACACCTGCTGGCCCCTCTGCTGAAAATACTGTTCCTTGTCATCTAATGGCTAGATGCATCACCTCCTTTAAGGGTCTGTCTACCATGCCCACCCTGTGCAAAATTGCTACCTGCCTCCATTTCCAGTATCTTTTACCCTTCTCCACTTTTCTGCTTTTGCTTTTTGCCATAGCACTTATTATTTTATGTTATTTTTATTATGGTGTATTACTTATTGTCTGTTCACACCTATTAGGGTGTATATAGAATGACCTATGAGGTCTGGGATCTTTGTTTTGTCACGGATGCATCCCAAGTGCTTAGGACAGTGCGTGACATCAGGGAGTCACTCAATAAATATTTTTTGAATCAAAAATTATATGAAATTTTGAAAGAGGAGTTATTATTATGGGAACCAGAGTATATATGTGGACTTGGGTAGTTCATAATCCTAAGTTCAAGTGTTTGCCTTAGGTAGATTGTAAGCTAATAGAGATAAGATCCTGTTCATTTTTACCTGCTGAATTGATGATGCCAAGCCTAAAATTGTGGTGAGGTCTTATATATGTTCAGAGAGGTTTTAGCCATACAATTCCAGACTCAATTATAAGTAACATAGTTTTTAAATTGTATACATTCTTAGATTGAAAAAATTACTGAAAGACTGATTCCTAAAATAAGAAATGCTTTTACAAAACATTTCCTTGGTTATTACAGGAAAGAAGACAGGGGAATCCAAAGGAAGAAGTCTGATGGGGAACTCTATGGTGAAAATCAATGGGACTTATTTAACAGAATCAAACCCCATTGGCCATTTAAAGAGTCACCCACTTCAGCTAACTTACGATGGAGGCTTCAGTGAAATCAAGGAGCAAGGAATGTTCAAAGAGTCAACATCCTTGCCATCTCACCTCAGAAGTAGAGGGTCAGTATTCTTTTTATTTGATTTTCTCAGAATAAGTATGTCGTTTACCAGTTTGTTTTCTGTCTTATGTAGATGACTGAGTTGCATTTTCTCTTTGGTAGAAAACAAATTTTAAGTTAGCAATACATGAGTAGTTAAAGATTTCCTCTCACAGTGAGTGGAGTTTATTTAACACCATTTCCTGTTTAATCCTCAAGAAAGCGTTTATTCATACCTGCCAAAATGCTGCTCTGATAGGACTGTCAGAATGAAGTCTTTGCTTTAGTTGGACTGTTCCAGGCCCCCGTGAGTGATGACGGATCGTTCTGTTTGTGTTGTTTGGGATTCTCGCCTGTCTTGGAATCTCGTTACCTCCCTTTGGGTTGGTTCACTATTGTGAATTCCACAAAACAGTAGACACTTAATTTATTTTGTTCTCCAGTAGAAACTTGGATTAAAATATTTATTTTGCAAACTAATAGTTAAAATAGGAGAGGCCCGTGGATTTCTGTTACCTATGATATCCCTCTGCTAATCCCTTATGAAATGAATGATTAGGAATTACTTTATTTCATAACATGTTCCTAGATAGGACTTTTTCTTTTTTTAACCCCAATTCTACTTACACCTTCACCCCTAGCCCATCAAGGAACCCCTAAGTTCATCCTATGCCCCTAGAAAATTGAGGAGCAATTTTCCTAACATATTAAGGATTTGTGAAGACATGTTCACTGTAGGGACCATGTAAATTCTTACCCTCATGTTTTCCTGAAGAAGCCTTGAATAACTAGGAGCCAGGGTGGGGCTAGAGTGAGGGGAGCAGGCTCTGTTTTCCAGTCCCAGCCAGTAATGATACCAAGATAGGCAGAAAGTCTTGGACTGGACAGGGTCACTCAGTTAAAGATGTTTTTCTATGATTTTCCATTGGGTCATTATGGACAACTGCCCAGTTTGAATTTGCTTAACAAGATTAAATTCCACGGGCCATTTTAAGACCAAGTACTTGTTGCCCTCAGTTTAGATTTCAGGCCTGACTTTGGCTTGTACACATGGAGCGTGCTTAAAACTTTTTTGCGAACTGGCTGCTTGGCAGCTGGTCAGTTTAGCTGATCTGACCTTGTCTGCTGACACAACCCGAAGAGTGTCACACACGTGGGATTTATATTAGGCAACCTAGTAGTCCTTGTAATGTCGCTTTGCATTCAGAACATTTTTTAAATTAAAGGAAAAAATGAAGTGTCTCCTTAAGTGGAAGAGAATGAACTTCAAATCGGGACTTTGGGAGCTGAGCACAAAACATCAAACTGGCCATTGCAACAAATCTTTTCCAGTTGGTGAATAAGAATAGGCTGCGGACCTCAGAGCTTAAACATAAAAGGCAGCTAGAGGACTTCTGTCTCTTTCAGCACTGAAGTGAAAAGGAAACATTTATCCTGCTGCACCCATCCTTACAGTAATTAAAGTTGACTAGGAAAAAACAGACAAGAGCTGTTTTATTTTATTTTATTTTTTGCAAACCTTTAGATGTTGCTGAACAATCTGGCAAGCCAGAGTTCATTATGTCTTCCTCAGTCTGGGACAGCAAAGGCATTTTCAGTTACATATTTCATCCCACAAACAGCAAAGGAGAAATCAATTAGGGACTGGAAGCATTTCTTCCTGACTGTCCAAAATTATGAGGCATTGGCACCGACTGTATTATTTTTGTTTTGTTAGCATGGCTTTTGCATCACATAATGATCGTGTCTAAGTTGGGTTTGCAATACACCCTGGCAAGTTGAACTTGCAATAACATTTTTGCTTTATGAATCTTTACCTCCTTTAATCATTGGATGGGATTTTGTTGAAGTGCCAAAAAAAATTTTATACAGTAGGATTAAAACAAACCAGCAAATGGAAACTATGAGCAGCTCTTTCATTAATTACATTTGTGAATCAATCTGGGACACTTAATGATTGTTTCTTGTAAACATTTAAGTGAATAATTCCAAGAAATGATCTTTGTTATGCAGTGGCGTATTCCCAGTTTTGATGCTAAAGCCTTAACCCTCAATTAACATTTTTTTCATCTTTAGCCCATAAACTGGAAAATGAAGAGTCTTGTCAGTGAGCCGGGCTGGCAGAAGAAGGGAGTGGAGGGGGTGCTTAACTAGAAAAGGAAGAGGCATGAGATGACAATGGGTTGACAAGGAGCATGAGCAGGTCGTGCAAAGGGAACAGACGAAGTGAGGACATGCTCCCATGCAGCGTGCTTACATGCTTGTTTTCATGCTGAGTGTTTCTCGGGCTGCGGAGAGAAAGGAGCCATTTATTTCAGTGAAACCACATTGATTTGTACACCCTTAATTTAGAATATGGATAACTCATGGGATGGACTGGAGCTTAACTTTATGCTGGTTGTGATGGAAAAAGGATTTGCTAAGCAAGGTATCATTGCGAACAAGATCCTGGCAGACTATTTAACTTTCCAGACGAGAACACACTCTCAAGCACTTACTGAATGATCATCTTAAAACAGTGTGCCAATTACAATAGTCTCTGTGTGTCCAATTAAGGATTCATTTCAGGTTTGGCAGGCTTGCACCTTAGCAACACTCCATTTTCACTTATTTTGTGTTGCCATATGGATTGAAAACAGCTTTCATTAAAATATGAGGTGTGATAAAAAAATATGGTGACTGTTTCAATTTAAAAAAATTGTTACAGTAAAAGACACATTGCCATTAATGCCCTTCAAAGTACTCCTCCTCGCTTCAAACACACTTATCCATCATTTTTGTCAATTTCTGAAGCAGTTCTGGAAGTCCTCTTTTGTGAGTGTCTTTAGTTGCACCATCGTGGCTGCCTTGATGTCCTGAATTGATTCAAAACGTTTACCTTTTGTGGTCATTTTGACTTTGGGGAAGAGCCAGAAGTCACACGGTGCCAGATCCGGTGAATAAGGTGGATGAGGACCTACCGTAATGTTTTTATTTGAGAGAATTTCCCATACCAGAAGCCATGTGTAGCATAAAGCATTGTCATGATGGAGGATGAAGTAAAGACACTCACGAAAGAGGACTTCCAGAACTGCTTCAGAAAGTGGCAAGAAAGATGGGATAAGTGTGTTCAAAGTGAGGGGGAGTATTTTGAGGGGGATAAATGGCAATATGTCTTTTACTGTAATAAATTTTTTTTGTTTAAACATTCACTATTTTTTAAATCACACCTCATATGTATATGTATATAAATCTCCATCCATCCATCCATCCATCCATCCATCCATCCATCATTTCAATCTGATGAATCCTTTATATACGTGCTTAAAAATCTTTTAAGGCTTTCTGTGTAAATATTGGTTGAACTATTATGGTTTGGAAAGATGGTTTTTAGGAGGAAAGCACAAGCGCAGTCATTTGCGGAGAGTTAAGAACGCTTTGCTGAGAGCCAGAATCCCTGGATTGAGGTTTGGTTATTTTCTCAGCCACTTGATTTGCTGTATACTCTTTAGCAAGTTTATTAACACTTGCGGGGACTCAGTTTTCTAATCTGTAAAATGAAAATAACTTCATTCCCATTTCCTCCCAGCCCTCCCTGTAGATTATGAAATGATTAGTAAGGCTTGAAAGACTTATTTGTAACTATCAAGTGCTGTTAGTATTGTTGGAGTAAAAAATAGGAAAAGAGGGCTTCTGGTTAAAAATGTCAAAGCAAAGGCATTCTGAAGAAACCCAGTGAAAGCTATGAAGAATGAAAAACAGAAATAAATACCATCAATGACACAGAAAAGTGGTTCTAAGCCCAAACTTCAAAGTATGAAGCAAACTTGATACTGCAGTATGGACTTGATTTTTTGTTTTTTGGTTTTTGTTTTCCCCTGCCTAGCCTACTTCCCTTTGGAGAGTGAGCTGTCTGGAATTGTATAATTAATCCTGTTCAGTCCGTGTTTAGAGGAGGACTGTCCTTATCTTCACTCCCTCCCTGCCTTTCCTTCCTTCATTCTATCCTCCTTTTCCTTTTTCTGTCTTTCTTTTCTTACCTCTCTTCCCAGAGGTGGTTAAATGGCCCAGAGCTGGCTAATCAGAGTTCTCCAACCACAGCCAGTCGGTTCAGACGTGGGCACAGGAGCCAAACCAGTCCAATTGAGTTCTTCCCTGGTACTTAGCCTTTGGGGACAGTGCTTTTTCTCCAAGTTTACAAGCTGTAAAGATGATGTTGTCTTGGAGCTAACAGTGGCCATTTCGTTGCCTGTGGAGCGTGACTCTTGAGAGAAAAGTAATATATAAACAGTATGGAGATAGTCACCAAGTTCAAGGATGATACATAAATCCCTAGATCCAGTTGTGCCTGAGGCCACCACATCTATATTGTAGACTGCTCTGTTTATAAGCCAATATGTTCCTTTTTTTCTCTTTCTCCTTCCTTCCTTCCTTCCTTCCTTCCTTCCTTCCTTCTTTCCTTCCTTCCTTCTTTCCTTCTCTACTTCCCCCTCCTTCCTCCTTCCTCCCTTTCCTTTCTCTTTCTTTCCTTTCTTACCTTTCTTTCTTCTTTCCTTTATTTATTTATTTAGACAGGGATATCTTATGTTACTTTAGATTAGGCTTTTGTTACTTGGAATATTACACCCAAAAGAGTTTAGTTAACTTGCCAAACTCTATGAAATATAGATGAAAACAAGAGGTAATTTGAGAGCAGACACTTACCTTCTCAGACCTTCAGCAGGAAACAGATTTCACTAAAAATGAGTCTCTCAGTTCAGAAAGGTATGTTCAGTGGCCTTTAATTAAACAAATGAGATCTAAGGATGTGGGCCCACTGGAGAAGTGGGAAGCTTCTGTGAAAACCCCATTCAAGATCCAGATGGTGAAGCGACTTGTAGGGGAATAGAGCTGAGTGTGACATGCTCTCCTCGTTTCCTGTAAGCCAGCTAATTTCGTGTGTGTGTGTGTGTGTGTGTGTGTGTGTGTGTGTGTGTGTGTGTATGGGGGAAGGAGTTTGATAGATTAGAACTCAAGGTGCTTATCATGGAACAGGGCTTTTCT